TTGAGGTGAAGCCCGAGGAGCTTCGATCATGGCTCCTGGTTACCAAGCAGCGAACTAAGCAATTGCGATGGCAGGACCAGGGTCTGCTTGAGGGTGAGCTCGTCAACGTCAGCGACCTTGACTATGCTCTCCAAGGCGTAAGTTTCATGGCCCAATCCAGTATCTCGACGTAAACTAACAATTCTACAGGACCTCATTCACATCTCTGAGGCTAAGGTGGGACGAAAGCTTGTGGACTGGTATCTCCGAAACCTGTCCCGCACCTATAACTGAGGTGCTATAGGGAGAACTGACTAGTCGTTTTTCTCACATTTCATGGGGTCTTCGATTCAAGCCAAAAACAAGCGCATAGAGCGCTGTGGTTGAATCCTCCAAACGACCCAGGGTCAGGAGAATACCTGGGGTTATGCAGGCCGACTTGATAGGATGCATGGCATGGCAAAGGCGTCTTGGAGTTGGTGATGCTCGTGCAAGAGCTTGAGAATTTCTCAAGTTTGGCTGTATGTGCGGCAGAGATATGGTACTTTCCCCTAGAGGTACGAGAGCCTGTGAAAAGGCTATGAAGAATAAAAGGAATCAAAAGTCGTTTAATCAAATATCATGATCCTAAAAGTCTACATCACCATTATGAATTATGTCAGTTCTGGAAACCGGTTCTTGTACAGGCTTCGCAGTTACCATTTGAATCGAGCTCCCCGTACAACTGAGAATAATTTTGATGCGAATCGTTCGTTGTTGCACACCTAACAATAACGTGGAAATAACAATTGGCGTCTATTTGTGAGAATCTGGCCTTGAAATATGTTCGAGGAACCCTAATAGTGCGAAGATCATATGATGGTCCACGACGAAATTGAGTAACCGGTTACAAAACCAGAAAAGCCGATCAAGCCACTACCCTTGACGAATGGCGAAGGTTTGAAGCATAGTCACATAAAGTCCTCTGTTGTTTTGGGGCTTGTGAGGTACAGTTCCTCAAGTTTAACACAACATTGGTGATGGGCTTTGTGTACCTTGCTCTAGCCACTCAGCTCACTCTGTAATGCCTTACCACCCAAAGGTCTTTGGATTAATACGACATTGGAATATTTGGAGAAAGCAAATTATATATCTATATTACTTATGCTTTGATGTCAGCTCCAGGGTTGTGCCACTTAGAGTGATATGCCAAAACAATCCTCATTTCGTAAGTACCTAATCTGGTTGACAAATACCTTAGCTTACAGATATTCCGTTATTCTTGGCTCAGATTTTTTTACTGCGTAAAGTGTAGCTCACTCATAGGCAGAAGCTATACGAAATGCTTCCCTCCCGGGGCTGTGAGGTTCGGTCATCAGCTAGTATCGGACAGAAGGAGGCACACTTTGATTCATTGATGAGGGCTGTTGAATAAGCGGCATAATCGATTAGCGCGGCATGGGCCAGAAAAAGGATTCAAGGTTGTGTTGCGACGAGGACAGTCCTTCAAGTTTTGAGGCCTGGCGTGTTAGCGATTGTAGGCTTGGTGAACTAACGGTTATACGACTTTTAGTTGTCGTGGATACTTATTACCCGTATGTACAGAATCTGTTACGCTCTGGGAGACCAAGAAATGTCAACTAAGCGTTCTATTGTAATATGTACATTTCAAGAAACACTTTGTAGGAAGTCCTACGAAATGTTGGTGACAAGTCTGCTCTGGAATAGTATTGATGATGACACTCCTCAGTCTGCCGCCTGATGCCTATAATGTTTTAGCGCGTCCATGTATGCTCGCTATATGAAGTCTCGAGACGTTCAAGATGTATCTCGGCATTTGTGTTCCCGAGTCTGTGCCACTTGGTGTATTGGCTTGTGATTCCCAGAGCCTAGGTTAGTTCAGCTGGCAAAAGCAATGAGACATTGTGTTCTCGTGGCTGATGAAGATAGCTTCACCGCCGTCTTTAACGACATATACGTGGTCGAGTCAGACCATGTCACCATGATGGTGCGCAGGAGAGCTTCCGAAATTCCGGTTCTTTGGTAGCCCTAGTGTGGAGAGGTACCAGTATCCGCAAGGTGCTCTGCCATTTCCATGCTCTGTCGGAGAACGGCAGGGCTGATGGATTATTTGACTTTGACAGCTGAAAGAACAGGGGATCCTCATGTGGTCTCCATAAGGAAGTTCACTGGCTGAGACGTTGTGCTTGGTAGTGGCTCAATAATTAATCTGGTGCAACGAAACGATGCGGTGAAGAGTTGCACGAAGGAAAGACGAGTGACGAGCTGACTGTTCCTCGCTTGAGGTTCCCTGCATAAGATAACTGTCTGTTGTCCGCCTAGTGAGAAATTCTTGGTATTGATCCATAGTAAAAACCGTTTGGTTAGTGCTGTCGAAGCTGATTCGGCTTGTCGTATGGGAGGCATGATGGATCTCAATTCATCTGCAGAGGCTCTGTCCGGACCCTCAGGGGACAAGAAAACATCAGACCTTGATGTATAATGTCAAAATAAACTCAGCAAAAGTCATCACCAGTTCAGGCCATAGTGCTTGAATACTTTTATCACCAAGGATCAAGGTCTTGAGTTTTCTTTCCTCCCCTAGCCTGAGTCGGCTCGGCCCCACCATTAGCGTGCGTGTCTCTCCACTGAAGCCCGAGCGTGAGATGACTCCGCCCGGGGGCAGCGGGATCAGAGGAGGGCTTCCTGTACCGAATCGTGCCCAAAGAACCGGTTCCGACGCCGCCATAGTACATATCATAGCACAAATACAGTTTGCTACGTGATACGCCTGTGCTCTTGGCGGCCACCGGTGGGAGTCACACTCGGGACATTGTTGCCGGGGCCAAGACATTGACACTTTCCCTGAAATTTGTGCTGCCTTCTATTGCTGTGTATCGAGCTTCACTTCCTTCACAACAAGAAGATCATTGTGTGTTTTTGGCTGCCCAAGCAAACAAGGTGGCATTAGTGAGGGGAAGACGGCCAAACTAAGCGCCCCTTATTAAGTGGATATCCATTCGCCGGTAAGCTGTCCTACTTGCTGGAGTGGCATCAAAGAGTGTTGAAAGGGTTTCCATGTGATCAAAAACTCCCAGGGATCATAATACCTAGCGTTGTGTTGTGTTGAGTTGAGTTGTGCTGCTTACCTGGCCTGGCCAGCCTGGGGCCAGTATCAGTGTGAGTGGGCTTGTGGCCAGTCTCCTTGCTCGCGTGTCGTTCATTTCCCCTTCTTCTCTGGATAAATTCAAGAGGCCTCTGGTCTCTCTGTTATCTCTGTGTCTGTGTTGCAGAAATGATAGAGACCCTGCCCGTGGTTCATCCTGGTGAGCCAATGGTTCAGCCCAGTCAACACATGCTTTCTCGCATGCAAATCGAGCTGTGTCTTGGCCTGCAGTTATTGTCACACCCGACACACAGTAATCCATCCAATCCCTGGAGAGCGGCACTGCAACGGCTTACAGTACTTTGGCGTATTTACGTCAGCTGTACGATTTGCACTTTCGTTATCATCAACCTTGTTTTCACCTCAAGTCTCTTTTTATTAGCTGTTGGCGATCTCTGCAGATTCACGCCATCCTAACCCTTGGACGTGTTTTCCGACGCACGTTCTCACGCAGCTTTCTGTAATATATCATAAATTTCAAATCTCGGCTGATAATAATGCGTACATCACTCCTGTTGACGACGTTGCTGCCCAGTTTAATTTCAACCCTCCCAGACCTTTTCGGGCCTACACCCAGTCAGTCCTGACGTGGACCAAGGGCCGATCCGTTCGGCACCGTCCCTCATTCCATCCCATCCATCTTTTTGGCCTCCTCACGTTGTCTCCCTCGTTTAATGTGACCAAGCCCATATTATCCAGCTACCGACCTCCTCGCTAACTTGGGTACTGTACTGTATCATGACATCTCTCTCTGCCTAAGGAAACAATAGTGAGAACTACGGATACCTAGACCTCCCACTCTCCCACCCCCCCGTCTTTAGGTGATCTTGGTTTTTCCCAAACCTAAAAACCAATCTGAAAACGTGGTCTCGTCGTTCCCTGGCAATAACCTTAAAATCTTATTGTTTTGGGCTGAATCTCGGCTGGCCTATGCCTTGATTGTGGCTTCATCTCTTTCACCACAAACTGATTGCAAACAAACCGCAAACGCCCACACCGTCTTCTGACTTTACTCACTCGACCCTCTTACAAAGATCAAGAGTCTTTGCTCAGTGCTTTTACTTATTCGCTGTCCTCCACTGCCTTTCGTAATCTGCGGCCACTATCAGCTCCGCTTGCTCAGAAAGGCCCAGACTACAAACACCACAGCCACCACCAACTTTCATCTCCGTTATTACGACCACTTGCCTTTCTTCTATATTCACAGCCACTCCGGTTCGGTCTATTGATGAATCAATTGTAGAGGTCCTTCTCCACACTTTCTACTACCTATCGCCGCCAGATCTGATCGACCTCGGCGTTGCATCTTAGCTCGAGATCCGCGTCTCAACTTGCGCCCGCATCTGTATCTCAACTTGAGCTCCCATCTTCCTTCTTGACTTCGGAACCGCGTCATTCAACCTCACAAACTTGACTCTCCTAAGCCCCACGCTTTCTTCAGCCGCGGTCACTCCCTCCTCCTTGTGATTTGGTGTTTCCCTAGATCAAGAGCCAAGCCAAGCTTACCTATCAACTAACTGGTTAGCCTCTCCGTCTTGGCGGCAGTTGCATCTTGGCAATACGCATACCCTTGAGGAGGAACTACCAAGATATTTGACTGAAGCTCAGCTCCGTGCAAGCTCAAGCTTTCTTTCCCTTCTCCTCAACCAGAAACTCCTTACAGAACAAACTCTTTTGACCTTGACTTTTCATCGTCATCCGTCCATTTTATCCCGTCAAGCTTCATCATCGATAAACTTGATTATCGTTAGATCTTACACACATTCGTTCCCAGATATACACGATCATTATTGAACATATCGACCCGGCGCGAACGACAAGCTGAACTCAGTTTGCCACCAGATCGTGTCTTCCGTGACACAGTATCATAGGCAACATGGCAACAACCGCAACGAATCACCCAAACCCGCCCAAGCGTTCCGACTCCGATGTCTCCCCCAGAACAGTGAACCCTCCCAAGAACTCAGCTTCAGAAGACGCAAAGGCCGATTACTTCCCAGATTCCAACACAGTCGATGGATCCAATACTAGTGTCCGGGCCAGCGATGGTGACGATTCATCTGCTCGGAAGTCAAGCATCTCATTCGCACCAGATCCTCGACGTAGCTCAAGCTGTGAAAGCAACCAAAATGCAGCGTCAGCGCCAGGCCAGGACTCGTCGATCCAAAGAAAATCGTCCACCGGCTCTGTCTCTTTTCGTAGAATGACAAACCCTCAACTTCCCCAAGGAAATCCTCAACAGATGAGCAACAGTCGCATTCGTGCGAGCTCACCGGACCACTCAAGGTATGTAGCAATTTTATTTATCCTTTCCCCTTCCCGTTGCACAAACTTTTGCTGTGATTGAATGCCAATTTCCCCAACCCAATAATGGATTGCACTTGCAACTTTCTATCGCCCTGATTAAACCTGACACGCGGTACGGCAACATGTAAACTGCCAAAAGTCTCCATGTGGATCGCCGTGGTGCAAACTGGAACTTCTTGTTTTTGTTTTGGAAGAATCTTCATTTTACCAACGGATTTTATTCTGCGTATTGCACACCAACATCGGCGAAAAAGGGTTCAAATTGGTCCGGCTGGAAACCTATGTGACGCCATGTCAAGCTACATGTCGCGTGGACTGTGTGTTACCATCGAAATCATCAATTCGGTCCACATGGGTCAGCCATTTCCATCCAGGTCGAATACGAGCATCGCGGTAGCGGCATCGACTGTTTACCAGTAAATACCTATCGTGAAGACAACTCATTGCGGAGGTGTATTGATGGAAATCTGCTCGGACTTTGGGTGGAACTGGGTCGCTTGGCTGGAACATTCCTCGCAATAACCTTTCGACTCCACCACTGGCCTCCCACTATCAATTATGGTTACCCCGCCGTTTGCGACAAAGCTTCCAGTAGACGTGGGGAAATGCTCTTCACCTATGATTACCTGCTCGTTTGGTCTGGATCGTCAGGCCATCATCCTTCATCACAGCCACTGACAAGTCGTCAGCCCCCAAATTCCCGCAGAACTCTCCTCTTGCCGTCGACATAGGCGTCATTGACTATTCTTAACCTTCATCCCCATTATCACTTCCCCGCGCATCCTCCAATTGCCTCAAAACCATCGTTATTCTCAGTCTCCATTTTGTGGTATTTTCACGACAATGTCGACGCTAACCGAGACCCCGTCCGATAGGTTTAAGAAGCATGTCGCATTTGACAATGTTACAACCGGCGAACCGACTAAGAACAATGCTATCTCATTTACGCTCAATGTTCGACACAAGGGTTACCAGGCTAGGCGTAGATCGCGGTGTTTCATGGTTGGTGTTGACGAGCATACCTACTCCGATTATGCGTTGCAGTGGCTGCTTGACGAACTGGTCGATGACGGCGACGACGTCGTTTGCGTGCGAGTAGTCGACAAAGAACTGCGACTTACGGACAAGCAGTACAGGGACGATGCAGACTCGGTTATGAAGGGAATCGTTGCTCGGAATGGTAATAACAGAGCCATCAACATTGTCCTTGAATATGCTGTGGGCAAGTTACACACGACTTTTCAAGTCCTAGTACGTGAACAGAGAAGACACCTCTGCCAGATTCTCGTGCTGACAAAATGACAGATCCAAATGTACCAGCCTGCAATGCTCATTGTGGGAACTAGAGGACGCACCCTCGGTGGCCTTCAAGGCCTGGTTAACACCCGCAACTCGTTTTCCAAATACTGTCTCCAATATTCACCAGTCCCAGTGGTTGTGGTTCGACCTACCGAGAAGCGCATCAAAAAGAAGGCCAAACGTGCCAATGACTCTGCCCGACAGACCTACGTGAGCATGTTGGCTGCAAACGCCGGGAAACATGAGGCCGATAGTGAGGCAAGTAGCATCTATGAGCTCGAGGTCCATAACTCGCCCGATGAAGAAGCGCACCAAGTCGCACGTGCTTTAGGACTGCCTGCATCTTTCGATCCTACGATCAAGCCCCTCAACCATAGCCAGATACCGAGTCGCAGGTCCCCCGACCCTACTGCTACTGCGGGTCCTGTCAATGAGTCCTCGGAGAACCAGAGAGCTGCCAAAGACGATGTCAGTGTCGCCGCTGAGAGTGATGACGATGACGATGATGACGATGACTCTGGAGAGTTCGAAGTTATGAGCGGGCAACAAGCTTTGGACAGGCAGAAGATGGATCAGCTTCATAAGATGGAGGTTGGTGAGGCAGCAGCGCTCAAGATGAAGGTGGACGAGGAACTCGACGAAGAAGACGATACCCCCTCAGGCCCGAAAGCCACATCATAGAAGATGAAGGGCAAGCAGAAACAAGGAACAGACGATATCAAGGGTGAGAATAGCACGGGAGATGAAGTTGCCGAAAGCAACGGCAAATCCTCTCAGGAGAATAACCAGCTTCCTCAAGTTGCTCAGCCAGATTCAGAAGCAAAAGGAGGTCTCTCATCTCTGGGAACAGAGGACGACACGACCGAACTGCAACATCTGGATGATTTACAAAAGTGCATGGCCATCTTTGATATAGGGTTTCAATTATCGCGTGGAGCTTGGTAGGAAACAGCGCCCCAAAAGCACGGGGTTTCGATAGATTCTCGGATCCAAGACAAGGATCCCAAAGTTCCCAGCAATTCAAAAATTGAGGACAATGAGGGACCTTCTAGTCTATCCTTCGAAAAGCCAGGTGCCGCTACGAAGACTCTACAGGTACCTTCAGGCTGCCAGATTTGTACGTCGTCCACAGAAGACCAAGCATCAAGTACCCTGGTCGGAAGCCCATCTACCGGGTCGCAGGAGTCGGAGGGTTACAGATCTCAAGTGAGCATGGAATTTCCTCCGACTCCGGATGGAATTTCAAGTGGAGACTCTGGAGAAGAGGTCCAGCATAATAGTGATGGCGATAGTGATGGCGATGGTGATGGCGATGGCGATGGCGACAGTGATGGCGACGGTGATGGTGACGGTGATGGCGATGTGATGGTGACGGTGATGGTAATAGTGATGGTGATGAAGATGGTGATGGAGATGGTGATGGAGATGGTGATGGAGATGGTGATGGAGATGGTGATGGAGATAGTGATGGTGATAGTGATGGTGATAGCGATGGCGTTAGCGATGGCGATGGCGATGGTGATGGTGATGGCGATGGCGCCAGTAACAACAACGATGAAGAGATAACGAACCACCCAACGTGGCAGAAGCGAGGACCCGTCCCAGCAGGTTGTTATTGTGGGCAAGTCGCTTCAGAAGTTGCTGCAGGGCATGCATATGTCCATGCTAGGCCTACGGTCTGACATGATAAGTGCATTGGTGATTATCCGGTGGCTCTCGTAGAATTTAACAGCGCTTCGAAATGAGATTACACAGCGATAGACTGGTTTCAGTTCTTAGCTATCTGATACGTATTAGGGTTGAAATTCATATGAAGTTTGGGACATCATAAGTAATGGCCGTGCGCCGAGGTTGGTGATTCAGATACTATGTAGATATGCATGTACGTGTGTCTAATGAATCCGTACTATTTATATCTTAGTAATGCAGGTCTGTCGCATGTCATGTCGTGCCATGATGCTGCATGCAAGCAAGGACCCTTGAGCAGGCATAAATAAGGATATGTAACCTGAGGCACCAACACGTCACTCATGTACTGTAGGTACTGTTATATGTGCGACCAGCTCAGGTTCTAGACCCAGGGGCTAATTCCATATGTCGAGTCTAACAAACAATCCTCGACTTGAAAACTCAAATGCTGTACAACGGCTGAAAGCAACTGTACTTACTTGTTGATTGAATTCAGCCAGGTAAGGTTGTCAAGGAAAAGGCGAAAGGACCCTGGAAGTGACGTTGCGCAGCATCTCTTATTTGATACGAGTTGTCGCAACGGCGCTACGTTTTCGCTACGCTACGAGGGGCTCAAGCTCAAGGGATCACTTTGAGTTACTGGCAACGTTTCAGTCTATTTCAGTTAGATAGGTACCGAGTCTCCCCTCCTCTGATGATACTGGTACAAACTCAAGGGAGGATTTACTGCGCCGCCGCCGCCAAACCCCGATTAAAATAACTACCTGAGGCTAAGGGACTCTGACATTCCTACGACCTACGACCTGAGAGCAAAGAACGAACGATATACTCCTCTGGCCCCGCGCCAAACATCGATGATCATCACCACGACTCGCACTGCTTCGATAACGATATAATTTCAATTTCAAATTCAAGTTCAAATTTCACAAAGAATGTGGCCCTTTACTCGCTGCGGCGAAGACGCCTGCGAAATCCAACCCCGCCCTGTCACGCTCGCCTCGTCCATCGCCGCCCTCCCATTCCTCCTCATCTGCATCTCGACATCAATCCTCGTCGTTCGACATGTCTTTCCTCGTCTGAGCAGCGATGCCGACTCTCGCGACGGCGAAGATCACGTCCTACCCACACATGCACCAGCGTGTCTGCGACAAGTTCACGCTGAACATGGTGCCAAGAGCTGGAGACGGCGCGGCGCAGCCTGGACGTTTGGTCTTACTGTGGGATTGGCTGCTACATTGGGCGCGCTGATCATGGACGAAATCATCGAGGTTGTCAACACCGACTCGAGAAATTTGGCTTTGAGAATAACGGTGCCAAGCTTGCTGTTCCTGCTGGTCGTGTTGGTGCCCTGGCTGGAGTGTCGCTCGGTTGTTTCGAGTGCTGGATGGAGTTTTCAGAGAACCGCCAAAGGAAAGCTTCCTCGGGTCGCTTGGGGATTACAAACTGCTCTGTTTATGGGATGGTTGTTCGCCTTCTGGTCCGTTGGCCAGGCTGTTCCCGAGGGCGCGATGCGCAGGACGAGCGTTGGGAGTGGAAGCCTCTCCGAGATGTTGACGCGCGGATGCCTGGAACGTATTGGTGTCGTCGGCATCTCACTGATGGCTTTACTGTCTGGCTTCGCTGCTGTGTCTTCACCGTGGCAGGCATTCATGGATCTTACAACCCGTCGCAAACGGCCTGTCACAGATGCTGATGTAGCGAGAAAGCAAGCTGGGCTGGATACTGCCAACGAAATGCTTCTTACCAAGCGTCACCGCTTGCAATATCTTGAACGCAAGACATCTGGTCCTCAGAATGGAGCCTCTGCCAAGGGTAGTGGCCTTGTTGGCAAAGTCATGGGTTCCCTACGTGGTCCAACTGGCGATGAGGCAGAGATGCGATCGCTGCGCCTGGAAATTGCTGGTCTCGAGACGATGGAAGCCAACCTGGCTTCAGGAGTTTCTCTACTCAAGAGTCACCGGGCTGCTACAGTTCGCGCTTCAACATCCATTGGACGTATTCTTCTCATTCCCTCGCAGCTCTTCAGCTTGTACTGTGTGTACCGCATTGGCGCAACTACAATCACAACTATTCGCCGAGCATATTCACCCACATCCAGTTTCGCCAACACGGATCCCATCAATCGCTTTCTTAGTATTCTTGCGCGTCATTGGGATCCCAAATTGGATCAACTAGCATGGGCACGCCTTATCAGCTTTGCTCTCAGCGGTGTCATTCTCCTCGCCAGCGCCAACAGTGTGGTCCAGACGTTCCACCTGTTTGCTAAATGGACTCCAGGCCTGCTCCGCCAAGCGCAAGCGAATCTGGCGCTGGTCGTCGGGCAGATCGCTGCGACCTATGTCATCTCAGCTTCACTTCTCCTCCGCAGTCAATTGCCATCTGCCTTGGGCTCGGCAGTCGGAAGTGTGTTGCGAGGTGCCTTGAGTCCCGCATTTGTGGATGGTTGGTTTGAGGGCTGGTTCCTAGTAGGCAGCCTTATAACAGCCGTTGGTATCTGGATAGGCAGAAAACTCGGAGGTGATGACGAGTGGGATGAGTACGGCATGGAAGAGATGGGCGCCAAAATGTCGTAGTTGCCTGAGTAAGGTGAGGGTGGTTCGTTTCCATGTTTTTTGAGGTTCGGGTTAGCACGCAAGCATTCTTTTTAATAAGCGAAGCGGGTGGATGTTCTGTACGATACGATTGATTGAGTGATACATGTCTGGGTTGGCGTTTGGACAACAAGGCTCTTGAGAGATGAGAGGCATTGATACATAGAGTACAATTTGGGTATATCACAGGGATTAGGACTATACCTACTGAGAAAGGATACAGGTAGAGGGGCTTGTCAGGCTCTGCAATACATTGCAATTTTACCAAGAAAAATGGCAGCCGCATGTAAATCTTGACTGAGAATGTGATTTATGCAGGGATATGCAGTAGCCTCAGTAGTTGGATGCTGGGTTGTCTCACGAGTGTTAGCTATAAGACGGGGTTGACTCACACATCTAACGAACGCTACGGGCTCAACTGCAAGTCACTTTGGAGGATACAAAGTGCCCAAGAGCCAATCTCCTCTAGTGTACTTCTACGCAGAACTTGCTTTATTATCACATGCTCTATTCACACTTAAGAAGTGTCCAGTGCTTAACAGTTAATACATGCGCGGTATTTCTTTCCCAACCAATCATCTTCAACTCGCAGCCTAAACCAGGTATCGATTATCAAACATATAAAATCTTCAAGACTATAAAGACCACAACCAGGACAAGGTCAACATACATCACCAGCCCTCACAATGCCGACCTCACCTTCGCCACCACTATCCTACACACAACCCGCATCTCTCAAGGCCTTCGCCTCTACTCCAGATGTCTTCCGAGCTGCCCACCCCCCAATTGAGCACCTCATAGCTGGCGCCCTAGTCACCAACCCTCAAGGCCAAGTCCTTCTTCTTCGCCGTGCAGCTCACGACTCCTGGCCTCTACTATGGGAAGTCCCCGGTGGTTGTGTCGATGACTCAGACCATGGCCTCGTTGCCGCAGCAGTGCGTGAACTATGGGAAGAAGCTGGACTGCGCGCAAAAGCCGTGAAAGCCGTGGTAGGAATTGCACCTAGCACAGAGCCGATGCCTGATGATCCCCTAGAGAAGGACTTGGAGGTTCTGTATGACATGCTTGTGTTTCGTGCAGATGATGGAGTCTGGGGAAAGTTGACGGTCTGGGTCGAGGTGGAGAGCTGTGACGAGGTCAAGATCGATGAGAATGAACATGTCGAGTTTGCGTGGGTGACAGAGGAAGAAGCACTGCAGAACAAGTTCAAGAATGGCAACAAGTTGGAGTTTGTGAGCGAGGGAGTGAAGAGGAACGTCCTCGAAGGCTTCAGACTGTGGAAAGAGGAGAACGAGGCAAGCAAATGAGCCAAGGTGGTCAGCAACAAGAATCATCAGCGGTGATGATATAAATCAGCATGAGAGGAGACTTCATGCGCTCATTACTCGTCTATAGTCACACACACACATTCCTCACCCCCTTCTAAAAGCATCAAGAACAAACACCGAGACCTCGTTGAGAAACCAGGAAGACACACAAAAGACAACACGCCACACCACACCACGCCGATCGGAGATGAATAAATAACAGGACATTTCATTGATCCCATGAACCGTCTAGCATACAGATCCGAGTTCATATCGTAAGAGTCGACGTCTCATCATCTTTGCCGAGCCTAGAGAAAACGAACTGCCTATAGTAGCCTTGCCTCATTGTTCGTTCAGCCAAAGCAAGTAAACTTTTTCAGTCCCTCTCCTGCTTTTCACCCTCTCCCTCACATTCATCAATCAAGGAAGTCAACATGCGGCCTAGACGTTTTTGGGGGAAATCAAAAAGAGTAAAAAAACAAAAAGGGAAACATAAAGAGATAATAAAAAAAAAAAGAGCTGTGATCATTCAAATGCATGCCACGTTTCAGTCCATTCATCCATCCGTTCATCCATCCATTCGCCGCCATTCTTTTGCTTTTGTCTCGAAACGCCAAAGGTCAAATGCTCAAAAATGCCCTCTCCAAACCCCCTGAGCGAGTGAAGCGGGTGTCGAGGTTGATCATGAGTAAGTCCAACGTGTGGCGGTCAGACGAGGAAAACAGGATGCCGTGGTCGATTAGAACCGGCGGAGAGATTTCAATTCCATGCCCTGAGCAACCTGTGATACTAGATTGTCGAGGATAACGAAAAGAGCAGGCAGCAAGTTTCGAACCAGCTTCAAAACCATCGCTTGCAATCGAGTGCAAAATGGGTGTCATTTACGAGAAAATAGCAAAGTCCAAGATGATCACTACTCTTATCTACGAGCTAGGTGACTCGCATCTTGTAAACAGGCATTCTCAGTCGTCAAACCATAGAGAAACGAGGCGATTGGTACACATTCTAGGGTGCCATCGCACGTCCCTGGCGACCTTTCTTGTTGGGCACTGTAGTCCAACCGTCGTCGTCAGCTGTGGGTGTAGCAGGCTCGGCATCAGTAGACGCGGGTTGTTGAGCAGCCGATCCGTTGGAGCGGAGAGGTCCAGCCCGTGCCTCCCGAATGCCGCCACGGCCACCGCGACCGCCTCGAGGTCCAGCTCCTCCACGGGGTCCTCGCTGATCGTTTGAGGCAGAGCGCCAGCTTGAAGCTTCGGTTGCTCTTGACTTGGGAGCACCCTCTCGGGGCTCGCGGTTTCGGATAGGAACCTTTTGCTCGCCATTGGCGCCCTCAGCAGCTTCAGCCTTGGGTTCTGTTGCCTCAGGGGTGGCCTCAGCGGCCTCTTTCGCCTCGGCAGCTTCGGCAGCTTCGGCAGCTTGCTTGGCTTCAGCGGCTTCAGCAGCTTCAGCAGCCTCAGCCTCAGCCTTGGCAGCAGCCTCCTTTGCCAATTTTCGCTCCTCCTTGGCCTTCTCATCAGCCTCCTTCTTCTCTTGAATAGCCTGCAGGCGCTTGACCTCAATCTCCTTCTCCCTTGCTGCGGTATCAATAGGACGAGCGGCGCCGAAGGGGCTGGCCTTAGCATCAGAGCCCTGGGATGCTGATGAAGCATCGGGGGCCTCGGAGACGGTTCGCTTCTGGAGGTTCAAGCGAGGACGACCGCCTTGGGCAGGTGCGGCGTTAGAAAGGGCGGGAGATGGGGGTGCGCTGCCGTCGGGAGAGGCAGCCTTAGCAGCATCGGGGCGCATTCTCTCGCGCCACTGCATGTCCTTCTCAGCAGCAGTGGCAGTTCGCTCAGGTCGCTCAGGGCGTTCAGGACGAGGACGAGAACCACCTTCGCGAGCCTCGCCCCAAGCAGGAGAGTCCCGGCGGTTTCCTCGGTAAGACTCACTACGGTCACCAAGCACATCGGGAGAAGCACGGGGGCGGCTTCCGTCTCGGGATCCGGAACCCTCTTGAGGAGAGAGAGGAGCCAGGGGTCCATGTCGCTCCCAAGTGAACTCACGTTGGGGACGAGACTCGAAAGCAGGATCACGAGGCCGTCGCTCACGGTCACCGAAATCACGAGCACCACCCCTTGAAGGGGCATCGGGCAGAGGTCCCTTGCGGTCCCAGTTACCCATCTCACGGATAGAGTCACCTCGGCCAGGATCACCGCCACGAGCTGTAATTGACGGTTAGATAAAGGTTGAGTGTTCAGGGATATGCAATCTTACGAGGATCGGCGACCTTGATCTTGATCATTCGGCCATTAAAGTTCTCGCCGTCAAAGGTAAGAGCCTTCTTGAGGCCATCCAGAGTCTCGAATTCGACATAACCGAAACCTTTGGGGCGCTGCAGCTCACGGTCCTCGATAAGGCGGACGTTGATGACACCGCAGTCAGCGAGATATTCACCCACGGCATCGTTGGTAACATCGTAGGAAAGGTTGCCCAAGTGAGCGGTATAAGGAGGCTTGTCGGGAAGGGTTTGAGGGGCAGCTTCGCGAACGGAGAAACCTGCGCCAGTTAGTTTTGACAGCCAAATTACGGCGATATAAACACATACCCCGGTCCTGCCAGCTGGAAGCAGCGTTGTTGTTATACCGAGGGCGGTCGGAAGGGGGCAGAGCCTGAGTGCCTAAGAATGGTCAGTCCACCTGGGTCGAAACCATCGTATGAAAGCGACAGGACATACCAGTGACTGGAAATGAGTTAGCGATGAGACACATATGTAGATTTGAAGTGAAAGTGCAAGTGCTTACCGTAAGAGGTTTCCTCTACCTCATCAGCCCAAGATGAGCCTCCACCAAAACCTATAAGTCCGAGTCGTCAGTATGGGGTCAACGAGGGGCATCGCAGCCAAGTCCGCTGTGCGGCGGGGTGCACAGGCGAGGGGCGGGACATACTGTCAGCCAGAAAGTCCCCAAGGGACATCTTCTGCTGTTCCTTCTTCTTAGGAGCTGGCGAGAGGTTAGCATCTGCTTACAGGACATGCTGAACTGTCATAGAGGGGCGCTCACCCATAATTGCGGTTAGGCGAACACGCGCAACGATTCTAGGACCGATGCGCGCACGAATGCAAAGGGCGAAGGCGACCGGGGTTTCAGCTTTCGCTTCAGAGAGGATAACGAGATCGGATCGCTTTGTAGCCGGGAACGGAAGAACCGAATACCGGAATGTCGATTATTTCTGTCGAGAAACTTGCGTTGTAGAGTGTTGATGTGCCCCGACTAACGTTGCCGTGTCTGGGGTTGACGAGTTGAAATTTGCTCGGCGTATGGGAAAAAATGATGATGGAGGCGCCAGTTGAGGGTTGCCTTAATTTTCCAGTCCTGGTCTGAAGTGGGCGCTAGCCCTTTTTAGTGCGGGATCCACCAATCAACCCCTCTACTCGATTGATGTCTCGCTTGCATCTTCTCAGAAGCACCAGTAACAACAGCCCCTACAAGACCCAGAAACCGTAGTTACACTTTGAGGTGGTTCAAGCAGTTGATTTTGTTCAACAGCCCGAGCTTATGAGATCTCGGCCTGACATATCAAGCCGTAGAACGCAGTCCAGAAATACTCTGATCTCTTGCATACGGTATTTTATGCGGCACATACAATTACATGCATTGGTAAAGATCAAGACGACTCATAATTTCCACACATGGCCAACCAGTATTAATGGAATAGCCTTTTATTAATTGCTATTCCCCTCATGTCCTTACTAAATTGGATAATTCATTGCATGTTATCACATTGGTTCATATTCATCTCAACTATGTCTTGCCTTTCACGAGCCAAACTCCCCCCAAAAAGTATACCAGCTCGACCCTCACAGACATTTTTTATGTGTGCCGATTCAAGCCCACCCAATTGGCCCACGGCCCATGTCATGTCACGGGTTTTCATCCCCAACTTTATGGTGGCTCTCTACGATTGACCTTTGCCTGCTTAGGAAAACTTGAGATTCAGATGCAGTGAGAGCCTTATCAACCTCACAGTCAAGTTCGACAAACAGCCGGCGAAGCGAGCCATGTAACATTATTCTTTTTTCTTCTTAATATTGTAATTATATGCCACATTTGAAGTAACCAACATCCATTCTCTCCTCCTCCTCGCCCGCCTCCTCCATATCCAGCCTCAGACACAGCCATCATGGCCAACGATAGAAATCAAATGGTTTCTGTACGCCAACGGCAGTCCTCTCGTGGTTTGTTTTCTCCCGAGGTTGTTGACCTCGTGGTACCTCCATTGAAATTCGGTGGTTACGCCGGTAAGCTGCTTCATGCGTCCTCGCACACCCCATATTGACATCAAGCAGGGACTGTAGGTGTTTTGGCAGGTGTTGGAGGCTCAATCTTCCAAGAGGCAAATCCAATAATCTGGGGGACAGTTTCTGGATTCCAATGGTTTACTTTGGGAACAAGCTTCTGGTGTAAGCTCTCACTAAAACCATACATTTACCATCGGACTGACCTCTCAAGTCACCAGGAGTATTATTGTTAAGGGATGGGGCGGTGAAGAAAAACTAAGGAAAGGCGACAAGACAATTGCCAGCGCAATAGCTGGCACAGCAGCTGGTTCGGTGGGTGGCTTGATCAGTAAGTCATACCACACTGTCGCGGTTTTACTCTTACTGACCCTGTGACCAGGAGGGCCGAAAAACATTCTCCCCGCTATGTTTGTCTTCACGATAGTGGGAGCTGGTGGCCAAATGATTGCAAACAGAATGGCAACTCGAAAACCGAAGGTTCACGACGAGAAAGAATCATTTTGGAGCCGATGGTCTCCCCTTAAGAAGCTTACGGATCAGGAGTATAGGGATATGATGTCAGAAAAGATGCTGAGGATAGACGCTGATATTGCACTTATTGATGATCGCATCGCTGAATTAAAAAAGCAGGCCGAAGAAGAAGAACTCAAAGGCTCATCAACATAATAATACTCATGTTTAAGTTGATTCAATTCCCTCCGATTTTGTCGTGGCTTGTTGAATCCCATCCTCTGCTTGCTGGCCTGAAAGGACTAGCGACTGTCAGAAAGCGGCATGCAGTCAGCTAGCAAGATGCAGAACATGCTAATCGGCTTCCTTGACAAGGTATGCGGATAATTGTTGAGTGAAACCATGGACTAATCAAACATCAGTGGAATTTCTGTTGTTTCAGAGCCTTGACATGCCAGACATCAATTGTAGAAGCTGGAGGGAGCAAACCACGAGTTTCGCGTGTTTGTATTCTTCACTAATCTTGACTCCCTCAGACTGACAACGCATAACACAGTAACTTTCACTGTTCGATGCAACCTCGTAACGAGTATTGTTACCGAGTAACTGCTAGGGAGGGATGAGGGATGATACGACACTGCTATGACACGCCACTGTATTACGACTTGGATCACTGCCACAGCGGAATGAAGCAAGAATGACGCAGCTTGAAGGAACTAAGTCGAAATCTGTGGTAGACGAAACAACAATTCCCCTGGGGAACAACGGAGCGACAGGCTGTGTGACTTGGCAGCGTCAGATGTTGTTTCTTGTACCTGACTGTCGAGATTCATGCCTGGCGGTGCGCACGTTTTGGTGGCGCTAGGATAACGAAGCTACCATTGCTACAGTAAAAGCATTCTGGGATGTGTGCATGTCTGATAACGCGGTCCGAGTTCGAAGTACGGGGTAACTCTAACAACGTTGCAGATAGACTCGAAACTTTGCTGCAAACGAGTATGTCAGTGCAGCAAAATGACTTGTGCGGTTAAATCACATAAGAGAAATTTATTGCGTACGTATGTATATCTACGAGAAACTTTAAATAAAAACAATTACAAAACGTTGAAGGAGATGAATGTCCGATCCTCCACGGAACTCGAAGAGACATGCATTCCCCGCACTTTGACTGGAAGAATGGGTAACCAATGACAAAGAAAGCACTGTCGTGATTTGTCGATAAGGCACGGGAAAATTCTAACGCTCGTATGTGGTACAGCAGAGTACACGCGGTTCAAACGGAAGATCGGCTCAGACGGTTGTTGATAAGGCTGGTATGGAGATCCTTAGCATGGTGCATTACCCGGTGCCGCAAAGGGAGATGGATGCATTTTTAATGTCTCATGAGAGTTGGTAATCAAGTAATATCTCCTTTAATGTCGACAGTCGTAACACTGCGGAGTTGTTGAGATTGGTGATCATCAACAAATAAAATGTCTTAATTACTACCTACTATAGCTACTAGCAGACGTCGTTTGTTCCCTGCTAATGAGCTAGGCCCGTGCTTCTGCCCTAACTGATCTAACGAAGTGAGGCTCGTGGCTTCAGCTTGGAGTCCTCTGAGTGGAGGCCTTCTCGAATCTATCCAACCTGAGCTTGGGTGCATGCAGTAGTTGGTAGCAGTACGTACTCGTTATCGCTTCGTGGGTTCCATGTAAGCAGTTCGTTCAAAGACGGACGCATGAGTCTAAGCGACCAATCTAGTCCATCGCCATCCAATATCCGTCCATCTTCAACGCTACGTATCTCGGACCATAGCCGTTCCTTTCCTTTCAAAACCTACCTACCTACTACCTAATAACTTTGCATATCCCCCGCCAAAAGTTACGATTTCAAGGGAATCGCCGTTTTTCGCATCCGTCCCTGCCTTGTACTCCTGCAGCAGAGTAACACTCCTTTTCCTAATAACCTACGATCCTCGTGGATCCAGACCCCCTTGACGTCACAAATCTCCCCCGAATCCCCTTAGAGCATCGCGTTTCGATATACTTTCCGTCGATCCCGATAAATACATAAGTCAGCTTTGAATTTACTTTCCGCTCTGCTCTCCGCCAACCATCCCTGCCCCGGACGCGAGGATATATACTTGAACCTTTCAACGTTCTACTCACAGCGCATCCTTTTACGCGTTGCTGTTCGGTCAAGCCTCACGGGAGTACCAGCAAGGAACTCAAAATCCGGCAATAACGACACCTAATTCGTCAAAAGCCCGCGGCGATGGCATAGCCCGCCTATTAATCGGGTGCATACAAAGTGAAGGCATGATATCTCTTCCACAAGCAGGAAACGTAAGTTGCGATACCACGCCACCTTACACCGCTCGTAGCTAATTCCTTGTCTCTTCGCAGTTGACTTGGTGGGAGAGGCTCGTGGGGGCCTTCGCAACATGGCTCTCCTCAACCCGACCTTCGTCTTCGGCTGTCTAGTCCTCTTATATCTATCGTCCTTCGTCCTCCTAGCCATCTTTCGAATCATTACCGGTATCTCTATTCAAAGAATTGGCTACTTCTCCTTGCGCCGACTAGCATATACACCTCGAGATGGATGTAGGATAGAGATTAGGGGCCTAGGGCTCCACGTTCATCGACCAACCTTCGCGCAGCCAACATGGCTCAGTGTTGTTCTGAGCGAGCTCGTCGTAACATTGGATATCAACGAGTTGGAAGGAAACAAGCAGGTCGACGTAGGCCCCGAGGACAGCGATGCCGAAACGTCGAAGGATAAGAAACCGGACTCTAAAACTACTGCCCGGCAGCAACCACAGCTACCGCGACGAGCTACAAGCACGGTTGTCCGCAGCGAAACATGGAAGAAACTTACAAATATCAAAGAAAAGATCAAACGGTTGCATAGGAATATCAGCTGGCTCAAGCTGGTCGACGTGGTCGCGACAAACTCAGCAGTGAATATCGTGGATGTGGGAAATGTCCAGGTTGGAAGCTTCACTCTCGCGGTCGATACGCGCCGAAAGATGGTCGATCGTGTACGCTTTTTCGCCCGTCTAGCTGATCGCCATGGCAAGGACCAACAAGCGGAATGGACTGTCTCGTTGCGTAGCGTCTTGTTCACTGCTGATGGAAGTGAATCCATGGAAGTTCTTGACCAATTGTTTATCAACGTTCATGGACATCTATACAAGTCCATGGATGGCTTGCGCGAAGCTGCCGTGGCTATCAAGATGGGTCGACTACATATTCCATTCGATGATCTGCAAACGTGCATGAGTCGACTCAAGCAAAGGAGAGCTGAGGTCAAAACTCCCGGGGTAGAGGAGGAG